GAACACTGTGATGTGACGGAAGACACAGAGTATGAGGGGAGAAACTCCAAATGGATGACCACGCTCGGTCTCTTTACCACCAGTGTGTCTAACATCGGAAATAGTTACCTGGAAATGAAGAGCATGAAGCTGGCTTTGTGCAACGCTCACAACAATGAAAACGACATCAAGACTGTATTGAATCTCAAGTTAAATGCAGTTAATAATAAGAGGCACAACAATCTCGATGGTATCTTCTACCATTACTATAATTCGTTCCTCTCCTCTGTGTTCTTCTCAGAGAAGTTTGCCCATCTGTCCGAGGGGGGAGAAACCACCAAACAGGGGGAAGCCCCCGAAGAAGGGGAGGGCACTAACGAATGGGACAACAACCAAATTGAGAGGAGGAGCGACCAAGTCAGCCACTGCGGAAACGAAAGTGAAAATCTGCTCCAGGAGAAAAAAGAGAACCAAATTAAGGAGCGAAGTAGCACCCAATCAGAAAAACAGGACACTGGGGGAGAAGCAATCAGCATAGATAATGCTGTGGTCGAAGCGGCGGCGGGAGAGAAGTCCGACCTCGCTACCGCAGTAACGGCAGTGAACCCACCAAACGGAGAGATGCACAAACCCAGTGGCCATACCCATAAGAGAAAAATGGGATGCCTTTCCTGGACGCCAAACTCTGATGGGGAAAACGAACAGAAGGAGATGGGTCATTCGAAGCAGCATGGCGAGGACAACAAAAATGCAGCGCATGTATCACATAGAAATAAAAAAAAAAAGGTTAAACTAAACATTGAGGAGGGCGCGGGAAAGCTGACCGCAGTGGAGCGTGACACGCACCACGTTAACAGTAATGATTGTGGTAGGTGGCGTGACGAGACTCACGCGGAAGGAGGAAGCTCAGACCATCCCGAAGATAAAAAGAAGGAAAATCAACCAGCGCACCAGTTCGAAGTAACAACCGACTACGAGAATTCCCCCGTTCAGGAGAAGGCCAACGAATGTGACACGTTGAGAGATGTACACGAGGGGAAGAGCAGCCAGGTGGACGTAGCCTCCGGGGAGGTGGATAAACAACAGGAAAGAACAGCTGAGGTTAAGGACCTCCAAGAGGACGTAGAACAGCGTGAAGAGGAAGCGTCCCCCAAAGGAGACGCCACATGTAAGGCGGCCCCCCGCCAAGCGAACGACCTCGTGCATCTTCTCTTCTTAAACTACATCAATCGAGTGATCGATGACGTAGAAGCCAGTGTGATCCTAAAGAACAACGTGTGCGAAGGAGTATACTACCTGCGACAAGAAAACGGACTGAACATATGTCAGAAATTGAGCGGGCGTTTCAAAAAAAAACAAAAGATACAAAACATGAAGAAGAAGAAGAAGAAGAAGAAAAAAAAATTAAGTGACATCACTATTTTAAAAAGTACACATGTAGACATACAGAAGGCAAATAAAAAGAACACTTCAAGCAGCATGGATTTGAAGAAAAAAGTAGACGTGAATAAGTTCTCCTATCTTTTTTATCGACTCCCTGTCCTCCTCTACGGGACTAAGTTTGTAAGCGACGTGGATAATTTGAAGTACATAGCTCAGATAAAAGGTGTCTTCCATCATTACTTTGATTTTTCTCATTCTCGAAATATCGTTGGTCTCGTGGAGTTACTTAAAGGCTACGCCAGCCACTCCATGTTTCACAAGACTGTGAGCACCTCGAGGAGGAGTGTCACTGATAGGGAGGACAAGTGCGGAACTAGGAGGAGGGTTTCAGTGAGCGGCGCGGCGGAAGGGGCATCAACAACAGCATCAACAGAAGTGGCGTCAGCAGCTACGGCCGCGGAAGAAGTATCAACGACAGCATCGGGGGAGGCGGCAGAAGTGGCGGAAGCGACCTCCGTGACAACAGTAGAGGTAGCATCCGTAGCAGCCGCGGCGACGGCGTTGCATCAGGAGGGAGAGGAGCATCCCTGCTTGGGCACTTCGTTCGACGCGATGGCGGAGGTGGTTCCCACTGAACAAATGGGAAAAAATCAACTAAAGAAGAGCAATCACCAATTTTCGAATGAAAAGGAAGACATCAAAGAAAATGAGGATCCAGATCTAGTCAAAGGAAGCACGTGTGCCAGCACCGTCAGTGTGTATTGCTCAAGTCTCCTCGGAGACAACCACTGTGATGTTCAGGAGAAGCAGATGGAAGATCCACATGAAAAGGAATCCAAAAGAAAGAGAAAAAGAAAAAAAAAGTCAACCGCAGAGGGAAGTAATGGTAGGGTGAGTATGCCATATCAAGTGTTAGGACAAGTGGACTCTTTCAACCAGGAGGAAGGGAAGAGAAAAGAAAACGTAGGTGATAAAGGAGTGGGAGTAATGAAGGGAGACGAGTCATGGAAGGAGTCTCAATCGTATGTAAATAAAAGCTTCAACTTAGTGTTTTGTCTTTTCGATAACGGAAATCATATTTACCTCCTAATCTACGAGTCGGATAGTGACAACAGGAAGAAGTATGCAAAGAATAAACTCCTTCGAAAAAAGAACGAGTGCAACAATATCGATTATTTTTTTAGGGAGCTATACGAGAAGGTTCATCAGAGTAGCTCGAAGGATGAGGCCTTTTCAATTTTGAAGGCTCTCTTTTGTAATGGGGTGGGATACTCCTCGGTGGGACACTCCTCAGTGGGTCTTTTCAACTGGGTACCCCCCCAGGGTGGAATCAGCTGCATCGGATCGAGTGACTCGACTGTTTCGATGGGGTCGACTGGATTGACCAGTTCGATGGCATCGACGTGGTCCATGGGGTCTATGAGCGGAAGGAGTAACCGCAGCGGCATTGGCAGAGGCATTGGCAGCGTCATTGCCAGCGGCACCACTCCCGACGAACAAAACTGCTTCAAGATGAGTGAAATGTTGCTGAACAAAAATGTCTTAAAAAATATACTGCACAACTTTAGCGCATTTAACATCACCAAGAATCTCAATTTGAAACTGGCCAATGTTATCGAACTGACTTACTACGATTACCTCTTTATAAAGAGGCACAAGTTTTTTTACTCAAGAAGGGGAGTGAAGATTTACGACGTCTGCAATAATTTGTACGCCGAGGGGCAACCTGCGGAAGGGGACCTGCGGGGCGGCATCGTGGGAGCAAGCGTCATTGGCGGTCGTGCCAACAGGAATGGCCATCACTTGGCGCACAAGCTAAAACAAGTCGTCGCTAAATTGTACGCTGGGAAAGGCAGCAACGACACCTCGTTCAATTTTAGGAGCATGGTAGCTAGCCAGAGTGGCCTATTTACGAGTGGGGACGTCAGTAGGGGTAGTCCATACGTTAGGGACGAAAAGGTCAAGTTGGCAGGAGTGGTCACACCGATGGGAAGTTTCGACGTCGCGTCTGCCTGCAGTGGAGGTGTTACCAATTGGCACCATGTAGGCCCCTTCCCAAGTAGCTTCCAAGGCAGCCTTTCAGGAGACCTCAGCCGAACGACCAAGATGGCCTACGACTTCGCCAAGAGTGGAAGCCTGCTGAGCAAAGGGGTCAAGGAAAAAATTTTGAATAAACAGATAACAAAGAGGAAAGACAGGAGAGACCAAAAAGATGGCCACAGGAATAGAAATAAGAAGGAGAAGAAGAACTGTCTGGATTATTATCCTAAGACCTGCTACACAGGTAGGGGAAAACTACCCTCAGGAAAAACAATTACGAACTGTGAATTTGGTGAATATAACCACTTCGATTTGGTGGCAGATCAGAGCAGAGACAACTCCATAAACTGCATCATAAGCGATTTCCTTCTCAACCGATGCGAGGATAACACCATGGCCGAAGTGGTGAAGGAAATAATTAGAAGGTATAACTCCTTTGGGGGGAACACGAGAAGCGGGTTCAGGGGGAAGTACCATCCCGCAGAAGTGTTCTTACATCCGACGAACAGCTTCAGCGCGTACGACGTGTATAAGTTGTTTCTGCTGGGTAATGACGCGAGGAGCGGCGGGGCGAGCAGCGTGGTAAGCAGCGTGGTAAGCAGCGGGACCAATTCTTCGATCGGCGGTTCTATCCGCAGCTTGATGAGTGGGGGAGGTGCCCTCACTGACGCAATGAATGAGTCACAGGTGGCACCCCTTTTCAAAAATAAAGAAGAGAAAGAAAAGTACCTGAACAGCGTCCTCTTCGATAAGGCTACCCTAACCAACTTTCGAAGCTTCGTTCTAAAAAAAAGGCAGATGGAATTTTTTTACAAAAACTGGAACGGGATACCAAATCGGATAGAGAGGGATAATAACTTCGTGGACATTGCAAACATTTTGTCGTTCCATCTGAACAGGAGTGACTTCGTCAGACAGGTGAAGTGGCGCAGCGTCCAGGCTGTCGAGACGAAGGTGAGCTTGAGAAGAAGCGGGGTCAGCCGGGTCAGCAGCGTTAGCGGGGTTAGCAGCGTCAGCCGGGTCAGAAGCGTTAATCGAGTCAGCAGCGTTAGCCAGGTTAGCAGCGTTAGCCGGGTCAGAAGCGTCAGTCGAGTCAGCAGCGTTAGCCGGGTAAGAAATGTTAGCCGGGTCAAAATTAGGGCAGAAGACAAGGCAGGTTCCTTCGCTGCGTTGCCCAGAAACTGCACCAAAAATGGTAACCACACGAATGTGGGAGATTCTAACCACAATATTGCCGACGGGGCAAATTCAAGCAGGTGTAAGAGCGAGTCCGGAAGTGGGCCCTCAATACTCGAAGAAGGTCATTCACAAACACGTGATGTAGAGAAAAATAAAGAAAAGGACGAGAAGAACGCAAGTGACACTGTCGTCACGATTGGTAATGGCAATTCCGACCTCAGCGGACATGACATCTTTCCCTCCGTTGTGAAGGAGCAAACATGTGAAGAGGTCGCCAAATGCGCGAAACTCTCAAGCAATAGCAGAAGCTTAAGCTCGAAGAAGCAGATAGTAAAGGAAGAAAGAAGAATCCACCCCGAGCTGTCCAATCATGACAAGAACGAACATAAAAGGGGAGGTCACAAGGAAGGTCCCAAGGAAGGTCAAAAGGAAGGTCACAAGGAAGGTCACAAGGAAGGTCAAAAGGAAGGTCACAAGGAAGGTCACAAGGAAGGTCAAAAGGAAGGCCCAAAAGAAGGCCCAAAAGAAGGCCAAAAAGGAGGCCAAAAAGGAAGCCAAAAAGGAAACCAAAAAGGAAGCCAAAAAGGAAGCCAAAACTATCGTAATCGCCATCGTACTTGTGCTGTTACTCCCGATCACGATGGTGAAAGCTTTCACGAGCTAATCAATCACAACTATGATAAAATGAAAGACCTCTATAATAATCTAAATGAAGAAATAGTAAAAAACAAACTGCTACTGATGAGCAAAATTATCGATGAAAACCACTTTTACAACGTTGCTGATATGCCCCTGTATGTAAATCTGGTCTTCTACAAATACAATTGTGTTAACACGTGGAACAATTTGGTTCATAATTTGAGGGAAAACTTCGTAAAGGAGGAGGCCGACTTTTTGAGTACAGACGGGGTAATGAACAAGACAGTGGATGCCGAAAATGACAAGGGTGAGCCGTTTTTCCTGACGCCAACGGCGGCAGCGTTGCCGGAGGGACAGAACCGGTCGCAGGATCGTTACGTGGGGGGGAGAGAGGAGCATCATGAGCAGCAGGATCGTATTGATGAAAAAGGAAAAGCGGGCACCGTTGGGGAGACAGTGACAACCCAGTGGAGTAATAACCCTATGGGCAAGGAGAACCATCCCGAGGAGGGCACCAAAATGGGAAACCAGCGCAATGAAGCAACTCCTCCCTTAGGCGTAGGTCTATCCACATCGGCTGCCCCACCTGCTGCCACAGACCCGAAGAGGAGCGCCCCCAGCTTCAATCAAAGAAAAAATGGAAGGAACGGAAAAAATAGTAAAAATGAAGAGAAGGAAAAGGCAAACAATTTCACATGTAGTGTATGTTTCAGCAAACAAATGAACAATATAAACACTTTGTACAAATGTGTCGGATGCTCTATTTACATCCACAAATACTGCTATGCAATATATCAGAAAGGAAAGAGTGATGAATTTCTGTGCGAGAAGTGTACAATTAGCAAGTACTTAAACAGAAGGCAATATGAGGGTGAAGATTCCCGTAGAGGGAGTAGCCATTCGAAAAAGAAAAGGGGAAGCAGCAGCGGTGGAGGAGGAGGAGAAGGGGGGGAGGCATCGAGGGTCGCGGCTGGGTTGGCGGCTGGAAGTAGTGGGCACGCCCATGACTCCAATGCGAATGACCCATGTGATAACCCAAGCAAGAGTTCCCTTGACACATTTAAAGGATTTGAAAGCTGCTGCTACATTTGCAAGAAGGATGGAGGCGCCTTGAAGAAAACCACGACAAACCAGTTTGTTCACATTTTCTGTGTTTTATTTTTTATCTCGAAGGTATTTTGTCTGAATATCTACAATCTGAACCTGTGGGATATTACCAATTTGAGATCCTTGGAAAATGTCTGTTGTATTTGTAATAAAAATGGAGCTGTCATAACTTGTGCCTACTGCGAAGAAGACGCGCAAGGGGAGCACACTGAGAGTAGTGCGAACTCGCACACAAACCATTCGAAGGAGAAGAAGTGCAATAAGTGGTTTCACCCCCTGTGCGCTTATTTGGAGGGGTACCATATGAATGTCGAAATTTACGAAGATCTGTTTGTAATGACTTATTTTTACGATAACTGCTTCTCGTGTTTACACGTGATCACACACTGCAATGACCACGTCCCTCCGGGCAGCTACCAAAATAGGGAAGCCGTTAAATGGAGGAGGAGCAAGTCATACCTGAGTAGCAGCGGCAGAAGTGGCTGTGGCAATAACGACGGCGCCGCCCCCCCCAAGTCGAGCGACCAAGACGCAAAAAATAAGGGAAAAAACAACTGCCAAATTAGTAAGATCGCGACGAGCGCCCCATATTCACACAACCAGAAGAACGGAAGTCTCTTCCCGCCACCTCTTCAGAACTGTGTGAACGCCATTCATGTAGAAGAGGAAGCCACCAATAAAATTTACTCGACTGATGAGATAGAACGAGCCTATATCTTATAGCTAGCTAACAAATAAGTTTATGATCCGTTCGAGCGAAAAAAAAAAAAAAAAAAAAATAAAAAATAAAATAGCCATTTTACGTGCACATCCATTTCAGAAAGGAAAAAGTAGCCAATCCGTGTGCAAACTCATTTAAGGAACAAACGAAGGGGCTGCTTGATGTGAAAAAAGGATGATATGAAGGAACGGACGAGAACTCAAATGTTGTTATGCCCCCATATAAGCACCGTTTTCGTGCTTCCATTTCCTCCCACGTGAATGTTACCGGTGGAAAAGGAGCAGCTCGTTTTTTTAACTCCATTGGGGGGTGATGGTCATTCACTTTGGAATGCAATTTGTTCTTCGTTCTGAGTGGTCACCACCCGATGAGGAATAGAGACCACCTTTTTTTGCGAAATGAACATTTTTGCCCCTGTCTGCATTTCTTTTGCCACGCATATACATACGTGTAACATACTTGTGCGAACACCCCATATGTGGAACTTTAAAATGTCGGAGAATGAAATTGGGAATGTCTTTTCCTGCGCCGTCACAGTGCATATGTGCGCTTCGGTATGCACAGGTAAACTTTTATTTTTATTTTATTTGATCTTTTCCTTTTTTTTTGCAATTGTCTTAACTTTGAGTCTTATTCGACAGTGTGTTACGGTGCATGTTTTGTATTTCCCTAAAAAAAGAACTTCCAGGGAGGAATTTTGAATATAGTTCTTTTATTCTTTTACCCAGATGGGAATGGCATAAAGATGGCATAGAGATGGCGTGTAGGCGACACACAGATGACGTACAGATGGCGTGTACGTAACGCGCAAATCGGTGTAGAACGCCAAAATGTGGTTATCATGAGGGAAATGCACTCTACTAAGTTCAAAACTGACAAGTGAAGGGAGTACTACTTCGGGTGAACTGAGAGGGGGTCTCACCTATTTACGCACTTGTGTACAACACATAATACATCATATACATTTGCCTTCGTCCGTGCATAGAAGGTGTCCTTCAACCACATATCACGCCTTCTAAAATACATTAGGTAGTGCTCCCTCCATGCGTTTCCTTCTCACTGCTCTGTTATTACGCATTGGTCATAATTACCAACACGGCTTTATGTTCAAACATATTTCGTGCGTTTAATAAAGTTTTGACCTTCCTTTATGTAGGCAGTGTGATTCACATACAAGAAGAAGGGGGAGCAAGAGAGGAGGAGGAGACGAGGGAGGTATAGAAATCTCAGCACCTCTAGACTTGTACCTATACACATGTTAATACACATATGCATACTTTTCATTTTGGTAGTGTAGTCTCTTCCGCTTTATTTCCACGAGATGCGACCCCACATTTGGCGCCTTGTACCCCTTTTTGTTTCCGTTGGCCACTTGCGGGGTGTGTTTTTCTCTTGCATATGGGGGTATCAACTACCCGGCGCACCGTTGCTTCAGCATTATGCGCCGTCCTTTTGCACCGGGTCGGCATCCACAAATAGGCTACTAGGCAAATGGGCTGTGAGATGGCACATATATGCACGTAGGGACGTATGCACCTACCTACATATGAACGTACCTACTTACAACACAATTGTACGCACAAGCAATGTATACGGAAATGGGCCCCACCTATTTGTGAGCCCATAAGGCGAAAGTCTTATTGGACAGCCCCTCGCCACTCACTCATCGTAGCATGTACCTACCCCGTGCGTATGCCTACGTCATGACTGTATTAATGTAGCGTTCACCGAGAGGGCAAGAGGAAAAACGTGCTTGCAACGCTAGCCCCGGAGTTTCTTTTTTTTTTCTTACTGTTGCACGGCAGAAGTAGCAATAACAACAGCAGTAGTGATGCTAGTAATGTAGTAATGACAACAGGGGTAGTAATGGTAGTAATAAAGGTAAACTGTCATAGCCACCTAGAGAGCACGTGTAGATACAATCCCGATTGCCGCCGAGGAGAAGGGCATACGTTTTTGAATATAGCAACGGATGTCAGGTTAGAGGCGCGTGCCGAACACATTGTACGGGTGAGGCCAGTGCCGCCTGTTTACGCCAGGAAAGTATACAACAGGGTTAAGCACATACGTTGCAGTGGTTAGAAGAAAGATTTTTTTTTTCTATATAAAAAAAAACAAAAAAAAAAGTTTCTCCGGCACGGTTTACCTATATATGGCTATCTGCTTTTTCTACTTTTTTTTTTTTTTAATCTCCCTTTTGATCAGAATTATTTTTTCCCCCTATCTTCTTTTTCTTCTAGGTATTGACACGATTTTTTTTTCTTTTCTTTTTTAAAGCGCTTTTCTTCATTTGCTTCCTTCTCATTTCCATTTTTTCGCTTACCTTTTGCTTGCCCTTGCACACTTTCTCTCTGTTTCATTATGGCATCCTATCTTGTTCGTTTTCGTTACTATTCTGTATCTCTTTCGGATTCGTTTCCTTTTTGCTAGCATTTCCGTTTTGCTTACATTCCCTTTCTCCTTACATTCCCTTTTTGCTTATATTCCCTTTCTGCTTATATTCCCCTTCTGCTTATATTCCCTTTTCGCGCACGTTCCTTTTCTTTTTGGGTTCTCCCCATCTGCCTGCTTTCTTCCTTCCTGTCCCTTTCTTTCTGCCCCTTACCACCGCGCGTATGGGCGTACGGCTAACACGTTTACGCCCGCATGTATATACATACTATGTATAGAACAAGGCCCAGGAACGGCAGCACCTCGAAGAGGAGAAGAAAGAGCCAACAAACAGTTCAATTCGAGCTCAGTAAAAAGTGATAAAAAAAGGAAAAAAAAATTTGGAGTAAACCTAGCCCAGTTTTATGGCATTTTTGTGAGTCCCACGGAGGAATGCCTTGAGCAACACAGAGACGGAACAGTGAGTAGTGCGTGAAGTGTGTATAGTGCGAAGAAGCTCCTACCCGGGCAGCGGTACATACATTGAGAAAATAACACAAAGGGCACATACATACAGGAGGAAGTGGCCAAGCCAACGGTTCGAAATGATCAATTATCTGTCGCCATCCCCATCCTCCCACAAAAAAAAGAGAAGAAAAAGGACCAGCTGATATTTGCATACAAGTTTAACCTTCTATGCTTCTAAGTACAAAATGAAAGGCGCCTATTCATATGAAAGAAGCCCCCCCGGAAATTGGAACCCCAACGTCCAGGCGATTAACTGGAGGAAGTTAAATGTAAAAAATGGGAGGAATAACGACATGTACAATTATAACGGAGGGGTGAACAAATATTCGGGGCCCCATTTCAACCCTTCAAATGATAAAAAAAAGGATTACGTGAATGAGGAGGAACAAGACGCCAGAGGTAAGACTCCTCAGAAGAATCTGGCCCCTTACCATTACGTAGACCACAACTACTACCACATGGGGAATGCAAATAATGTGTCTTATGCAAATAATGTGTCTTATGCAAATAATGTGTCTTATGCAAATAATGTGTCTTATGCGAACAACGCGTCTTATGCGAACAACGCGTCTTATGCGAACAACGCGTCCTATGTGAACAACCTGTCGTATGCGAAGCCGAGTTACTACAATCAGGCATATGTGAAGTTTCCGACCTGGAAGGGGGCGGGCGGCAACCCCAGTGCCGGTGGTGGGTACGGTGGTGCCGCCTACAACGGATACGGCTACGGAGGCTACGACAACTACGAGGGGGACGCCAATTTTAGCAGCCAGTACGATTGCTACGAAAATTATAATGGGTATGGTGCGGACGGCTACAGCGGTTACTACGGCGGAAGTTACAACGGCGGCGGTTACACTGGAAGCGCTTACTACGGAAGCGGTTACTACGACAGGGGTTACCACGGCAAGGGTTATTACGGCAGCGGATACAACGACTACAATAGCTACAACAATTACAATGGCTACAACAACCACAATGGCTACAACAACTACAATGGCTACAACAACCACCGGAGTCATCACCTGGGAAGCCACCATCAGGGGAACCACCAACAGGGGAACTACCAAGAGGGAAATAATAACCACGCCAGCGCGCACGACTCGCACATACAGAGCGGCACCAATTATGGTCACCATAGTTACAGCGCCCCGGAGAGGGATCAGCAGCCTAATTACGAATATGGTGCAGCCAAGCACCAGCATTATCAGCATTCTCAGCATAACCACCACCCCCACGTACCCCAGAAGGGCAAAGACGTCCAGGTAAAATACAACGAGCTGATTAGCCATGTGTATTATAAGTCATCGTATTACTTAAAAAAAAATAGGAAGCACATGAAGAAGCTGCTAAAATCGAACTGTGTGATCAATATATATCTAGTGAGACACATGGAAGCTGAGCATAACAGAGAAGTTGTCGAGGGCACGGGCAAGCCCAGAGACCTCATTTATAAGGACATAAAGCATCTAGACTGTAGGGTCAGTGAGAAAGGCAAACAGATGTGCGAGGATTTGAAGAAGGATGGGAACAACAGCCTGTACCAGAAGATTATAGATCTGTATAATGACTCTCTGCAGAAGGTAGATTTGCCCGCCGCTTCCCTCGTTGACAAAATCGGCACTGACAAAGGCGGCAATGACAAAAGCGGCTCTGCTACCAATGGTGCTGGCAACCCTCCTAGTAATAGCGATGCCCCCGACGCTGCCGCTAGTAGTGGGAAGAAGGGCATCCTGGATCGGAACAGCGACTTCGTCATTATTAGCTCCCCCCTGAGGAGGTGCCTGGAAACGATGAAGTACTATTTTAACTTTAAAAAGAACATCCTCGTCTACGAGTCTGTGAGAGAAATGGGAGGAAACTACTTCAGTGACCAGAGGTCCAAGACGTCCGACATAAAGCAGTTCTGTGAGAATAATTTTGAGGACTATGAGGTGATCTGCTTTGGCGAAAATGACATTCTGTTTGGGGAGAAGTTTAGGGAGTCGTCCGATCAGGTGTACTGTAGGTGCCTGCAGTTTTTGAAGATGGTACATGCGCTGGCGGTGAATTATTTTGCTTCTCTCGAGGGGGACAGCGAGGAGGAAGAGGAAGCTGAGAAGGATGAGAAGGCAGAGGAGGGGGAGGAGGCTGGGAAGGATGAGAAGGCAGAGGAGGGGGAGAAGGTTTGGAAGGATGAGAATGCAGAGGAGGGGGAGGAAGCTGAGAAGACAGAGGAGGGGAAGGAAGCTGAGAAGACAGAGGAGGAGTCCGTGTGTAAGAAGAGCAGCCACGAGGAAGAAGCAGAAGACGGGGAGGAGGTAGCAGCCAGAGTAGAGGTGCCCGATGAGGAGAAGCAGAAAAAACGCGTCTACAACATCGTACTCGTCTCGCATAGCTCGTTCATTATGCATTTTTTGGCTCTCCTGGATTACTTCGATTTGGATGCGAGAAACTTCAACAATTGCGACATCAAAAAGGTGGCGATCCCCTTGTCTAACACGTTCCTCTTTTTTAACAACGTGGTGAACATGCAGCTAGCCAAGCCCCTCTGCACCAGCAATTTCCCTATAGTGTTTAGGAACGAAAACAAAGTTCTGAAGAAGGCATTCAAGGACAAAAATATATACACACTCAGCAGTTACAGTGACTTCGATGAGCTGACCTGCCAAGACCCATGCACGGTAGTCATATATCAATACGCGTCCCTCGTGAAGGACGAGAAATATAGCAAATATTTGGAGAAGGTACACAATTTTATCGACCTTGCGAATAAGGAGTATGGAGGAGAAGGGAAGATTTTCTCCAATGGAATGTTTAAGAGCTACGTGAAGAAGGACAAGAAGAAAATGGGTAGAACTCTCCTCGTGACGGATGCTAGTAAGCATTTGCTTTATGTGCCGGAGAAAGACGCTTGGGAAGTTAATAAGAAGGGTTTTTTTGTGGGTCAAAATGTAGTCATCATAGTTTTTCCAGATGTAGAACCCACTTCAAATTGTAAGAACGCTAGCAAAGGTAATGATCCCAAAGAGAGACCCAATGAAAATTCTCTGCATCTGGACAATGTACTCCAGGTTGTTAAGAAGTATAATCATGTAGACGACTTGATAAAATCGAAGGATTTCTGGAAGGCTATCAAGGAGAATATTCATAATATGGATCTCAATACATTCCAAGGTTACCTCATTGGGAAGTATACCAAATTTGTCAGCTGTGAGGAGGCAGACAAGGTTTCCTACCTCGATTTGTGTAGCTGCCTCGAGAATAAGGCTTTTATGGAGAAGTTCCAAGACCGATGTAATGGGTACTTGAAGCGTCTGAAGGAGCGATGCGACACTTTTGCGTATGTCGATCTGGAGCAGGAATGCAGATACATTAATGAGAACTTACTGCCGCATATGTTCCCCAGGGAGTACGCCTCGGGTGTAAGCGAGGTCCTTCCCAGCAGTGGAGACCGCGCTCGTGATAGGACAAAGGGGAAAGTCGACCCTACGCTGGACGAGCGCAACACCTTGGTTAGGAAGAGGTTTATGTACATTCCGAGGAGGGCGGCGATCACTGCGAAGGTGGCCGCGGAGGCCCTATTGGGGCACACCAACCAAGCAGCAGGTGGAGAAGCCGCGTTAGCCGCATCCGCAGCAGATGGAGCGACCGCATCAACGGCAGGAGCAAACGCCCCGCTGTTGAGCAAGAACTTCCTGCAGGAGAATATTAACACCCTCAAGTCCTTCCCGCAGTCCATCCAAAACTTAAATATTGAGATGTTTTATCGGGACCACTTCTTCTACTTCCATTGCTTGCATCGGTTCATAAAAAGCAAAAACAAAGTTGAAGGAATCATCATATCGAAGTTGCTAACCTTCCTCGATCTGTTGAGATCCTTCGATGTGAGTGAATCGAATAAAATTTTTCAGAAATTATCCAAGTTGGAGAGTCTCATCGAGAACAACATCAGTTTAGATCAGGAGGAGAGACTGGTACACACCTTCTCCTGCGATAAGCAGTGCGCCCAGGTGAATAACACCTCGTACTATGACGAGTCCGCGAGGAAGTACAAGCCGATCCAGACTTTGCGAGGTGAGTAGGGGGAGCGCCTTCGAAGCGAGTCGCCCGAGGGGCGGCATGGTTAAACGGGTGTCCCCATGTTCGCCTGACGGTCTTGTAGCCGCTTTGTAGCCGCCTCATTGCTTCGGCACCCCATAAGGACTATCCATTCGACCCATTTTCGCAGGAAGGAAGAAGGGAGTTGTGGACGACCTAAACTACATGCGTTACAATCTGCTCACCGTCTGCGGAGGAGCAGAGAACGTTTTCATTTTGAATGTCCTGAAGTAATTACGGTTCCCGCGGCACTTTGACGTTCTTCCTCCATTTGTAAATGCGCGTGGCGGGATTCCCTTTTTTTTTTTTCGCCGGAAACCCACCCCGAGAGGAAGAAATAGACCCCCCCCCATAGCTTCCAAATTTAGCTCTCCATGTGGAGTGCCAAATAAGATGCCATTCAGAGGGCCAGACATCCCATGTGTGGTATTGGTTCCGAAAAAAAAGAAGAAAGCGGGAAAACAGGAGAACAAGGCAAAGGCAATGGTAAAAGAGGAGTGAATGAATGTTTGCGTAAGATGCTACAGGTTATAGCGATTTGAACACCAAGTGAGCTTCATCTCCTCTCTTGCTCACTCTATCTTTCCTGCTCTATCTCATTCTCTTTCTTTCTTTCTCCCTCTCTCTTTCTCTTTCTCCCTGCCGTTCCGTGACCTCCACCCATTTCACACAACTCTAACAACAGTGCACAATGTGCTCCTCCACACCCATGTTTGCGCCCGAACGAATGCAAATCGAAAAACAGTTTGTTAATTTTGATCGCATGCCATTTTTTTTTTTTTTCACTTTTCCTTTTTTCATTGTGCTTAATAATCTGTCCGCCTTATTTTTATCATTTGAACTCCAAACCGCTTCATAACTTGATGCAGTGGCTCATCTTTCCAGTTTGAATTTTCATAGCAAGTTATGCGTATGAGAGGGGAAGTGGCGATAAGGGGAATGATCCGCATGGTGGGCTTTTGGCCGGGTGGTGGACCTCTGGCGGAGTGATGGGCATTTAGCCGAGTGCCCATTTAAGTGAACATGCGTTTAAGTGAGCATGCTTGATAGTTTACATGGAAGTGGTAGCCCTTTCCCCTCCGCGGGGGATGAAATCTGGATGGTTACTCCACTTTGGGAGGTGCGCGGGTAGTTTGTTTTTTTTTCTTATTTTTACCCACGGTTAGGGTCTTGCAATAGCCAGATCAGCCTCGGCATCTTTTCGCGTGTTTGGGAAAATGGAACACCGCAAGTACTCAGGGGGGTAAACAAAATTGGGACGATGAGAAGGATTAGAAGGATGGGCACAACTTGGTATTCTCTTTTTTTTTTCTCTCTCTTACGTCTTTTGCACCCCTCTTTGGTCTTCTCCACTGATCCCCCTTGGACGTTCACTCGTCTCAGACTTAACGAGAAATTTGGCTCGAGTACACTTTTGAGGTTTTTTTTTTCTTTTTTTTTTTTTTGGTTCTTCCTTCCAAGTGTAAGGCAACACATTTGGGTGGCCTTTCGAGGACCCTCATTTTGCACTACTAAGTAATTTTGTTTTTCGGATAGGCCAGTTGGTTCCTTCCGCGTTTGTTCCATCGCTATCCGACTTGCGCTTCTCCCCTCTTGAGCGAAGATGTGCGTGGGCACACACCTCCGCGTGGCAACTTGAGGAGAAACGAACCAGCACACACACCATGAAGATGATGAGGAGGATACTACTTTCTGCCCTGGTGGCACTAAGCATTATAGTGGCCCATTGCAGCCAAGTCAAGGACAAACTATTTAAAGAGATAAGAAGCAACACGACATTTTTAGTACTCAATGAACCCATTGTCGATCTGGGGATCAGTGAAGGGTTACTCCACACCCTGTTTTTCGATTTGGAGATCGGAGAGAACCTATACACACTGGATGAGAATCTATTGAACCGGAAGAATTTGAAGCATACCAATATTTTCCACCTGCTGATGGATATATATAAGCAGGTGGGGAGCAGCGAGGTGGAGAGCAACGGGGGGGGAAATTCCATTCGCTACGTATTCCTCTGCACCCCTTTCACAAGAGTGCAGCCGCTAAACCTGGAGCTTCTCCTGAGGAAGTTCAACAAGTACATTTACAACAGGAAGAGTCACCAAAAGGGGGACATAGATGTGGGGGGGATTCTCAAGGAGTACAATGAGGAGGTGCGCGGGAAGAGAGAGAAACCGGTCGGCATGAGCAGTGAGAGCGGCAGTAAAAGCGGCAGTAATAGCGGCAGTAATAGCGGCAGTGGGAGGGGCATCCCCGCGAAAGACCTCATAGAACGGATGCTGCAAGACGAAGTAGACCTCCTTCTGAGTGACGACAACGAAGGGAGTGACAAGTTTGTGAAGCCAGGTGACACGTACAAGGGGCTCTTCGTTGGCTACGCATTTAGTGAGCAACCGCCGTCCGGTGCAAGTGAAACCGCCGCTAATAATGGGTTCCCCTTCCCCTCCCTAAATAGTGGCATCATAATGGACATCACTCTGTTAAGGCGGCTTTACGACCATCTGGTGGTGCATTCCGCCGCGGAGAGTTTAAAGCTGATAAAAGACAACGTGCGAGAGTTGTCCAACTATATTGGGGAGCACCTGCAGGTGAAGCTAACCCCATTTGAAAATGCCTGCCTCAGTGATAAGGACAACGTCTTCCTTGTTGAGAACGAGGGGGAAACGAAATACGACGTGTATAGGTATTACCTCGTGCAGCATTTATTTAGGGATTACAAGAAGGATAATCATGCTGATAAGGAGGATAATCTGGGAGGGACAAACACAACGATGATGATGACCCCTCCCCCAACAGATGAGGAAGAACCAACCGATGTCGAACTGGCACAACTAATCATCGCCTACTTCAATCTTGCTTACCCTATATCTACGTGCGCAAGTTACTCCATCCGTTCGAAGCAGGAGACCTTCGTAGATTACGACAGCTACCACCTCCTCAGCATTGAAAATGAAATCAAGTTAGAGAAATATATCAAAGAAACTGAATTCGTACACTATAAGTCCATCGATGAATATAAGACTAAATTGAGTCAGATCAATCAGAAGTATGATGCCCTCCTTGATGAAAGTGAACGTCACTGGACTCATAAAAATATTCTCCTGGCGGTGGTGACCAGTGCGGAGACGGAACATCGAATAGCCCACGTGAAGAGCACCTATGATAATAAGGAGAACACCGAGCGGGTGTTTAATTCGTACCGGGGGAATGGGGGGGAGGGACAGGCCAAATTGAAAGGCTCCGCTGGAGGGAGTGCCTCCCGAAAAGGCAACCAATCAGGGGGAGCAAAATCCAAAGGGCAGGATAAACCCTCCTCAAATGGAGATCTTTTCAATCACGACTTTCTCAAGAGCGCCTTCGAAAACGAGAACATAGACATCGAAATAGTTTACTTTTCCGATAAGGAGAGCAAACAGTATGATGACACCCTCCACCTGGACGAGGAAGACAAACAGGGGGACTCTAAGAACGATCGCGAATTGGGAAAGAAAGAAAAAAATATTATTTACTACCTTTATGAGGAATACGTCAGGAAAAACTCTCCAATAAATTTCTTCTTCATTTCTCATGATGATACCTTCGTCAATGCGAAGACCTTAATCGATGTGATTAACCTAACTCGTAACGAATGCACTCACTCGAGGAGACACATGTTTAAGAAATACGTCAAATCATTTGACCATATGGAGGAAAGGGAAGCTGATTTTTTGAAAAACTTCGGCAAGAGGTACTTACACCTCTACAGGTATTTGAAGACAAACTTCGTCAAAACGATTGACTCGTTGAAAAGATACGATTACATTCCGACTTACTGCGAAGGCGCGGGGGGAGGCAAGGGTGTGTCTGGCTTGGCGCCTCTCACGAATGTCCCCCTTTACATCGGCAAGAGGTACTCGCGCAACTCCTTCGCAGAGGATGGAAGCAGCTTCTTCCACTACTTGGCGGGGGCTGCCGGGATGGTCCTCAACGGGGAGGCCGTGAAGAAGATCTACTTCTGCAAGGGGGCCTGCACTGTGGACGCTTCCAACGAGGCGGCTACCCTTGGGCGGTGCGACTTCCGCCTGCTGAACGACGCCGCTCTTGGCCAGTGGGCCAAGGGGTTGGGCATCTTGCCCATCAACTTCGAAGGCTTCTTCCCCAACGGCCCCGAACAATACCCCGCAGATTACCTCAGCACGATTACGCCCGTTTCTTTTCACCGTCTCAATGAAGGGAGGACCGCTGAAAAAACGAAGGAGGCGTTCTTTCATCACCTAGTTAGTCCTACCCAAAAGAGAAACAAAACGAACCAGGAGGAGACAGACATGCCTGTAGATTACCTCGATAGGAATTACAAAAATACAATAGACAACATCTTTCATTTCTTCTTCTACGTTAATAATGCCAAAGAGTGCAAATCCGATGAGTCTATAATCAAAACGACGGAATGGATTTATAACAAAATGGGATCTAGTAGAAAATTTAATCACCTCTTTGATATGAGTACCTTCTTTACAAGCGACGTGGAAGAGATGCTCTACTTCCAGAAGAGGTCAGCTAGCAAGGGGAAGCTTAACAATAAAAAGGGAAGCAAGGAGACGTACAGTAACAATTATGTTCAGAGGAATGATGCACCAGGTGGGGGGGATGAGTCAGGTGGGCACCCCCACCCTGGAAGGGAAGACTTAGGCAATTTTGCTACAATGGATGATCTCGGAGAAGAGGATGACTTGGGGGAGGAAGACCCTCATCTGGGATCCATGGCAGGCTTCGGACCGCTAGACGATCTGGACGAAGAGGAACACTTCGATGATGAAGATTACGACTATGAGAAGTACCTGGATGGAATAGAGGCGCATAGGAAGGGCACCGGAGGGGGCTCTACGGATGATCTACCGGATGCCCCCAAATCGGGTAGCGATGGCGACGGAGACGACAACCAGGACGATCACGACAACCAGGACGATCACGACGACCAGGACGATCACGACAACCAGGACGACCAGGACGACCAGGATGATCACGACGATCATGACAACCACGACGACCATTTTAATTTGCCCCCTGATGGAGGTGACAACATCGATGACACTTGGAATCTGCCCCCTGATGGAGGAGAATTATAGAATTCGTTTTGGAGGAACATCCATGTCTCCTTTCCCACGCGCGGCGAAACCTACCGAGTGTGCTGCTGCGCGGGCGAGATTCACCACCATGAGGTTTTCTCCTCCCCCCTGTTCCGCCAGCTCTTATGTGCCTCCTCGCTGTTAGTGCTTCCCGTGTGTGTCAGCTTCCACCACACAATGCTCCTACACCGCTGCGGTGCTATACAGCGGCCTACCTGCCCATTTGCCTTTTTTTCTCTTCTTAAAGCATCCCGCGAAATCACGCACGCAGGAATGGTCGTTACAATATGACGAAGTCTTATTTCTTTTTTTTCTTTTTTTTTGATGCATCTTGAAATGATGCAATGGATGGGTTATGTGCCACAGCGCGCAAGGAGCAAATCGGAATGGGTCTGTGCTCAAAAGAGGTAGCGACGCTTGCGCAGGTGCAAGTGTATGGGCAGGTAAATAAAACGGGAAAGGGGAAACAACGCGGTTTGAGTGCCGCACCGATAGCGGCACACACAAAAACATCAGCACACGAAAACACTGTTATCTTTGTATCACATAATGTATTATTGTGGGGGGGAGGCTCCCCTCTAGTAGCCCAGCTTTCTCAAAGGCTACTTCCCGTTTGAGGAACTGGCTCCCTCCAACGCTACTGTGTGTAGTGCCTATCCGTGGCACACCGCTTAGGGACGCCCTTCCGGAGCGCACTCCTCGTAGTACATGCTCCGCAGGCGGTAATTCAAATCTTCCATTGGCCCCAAGTTGATCGGATTAAAAAAGAGAAACTCTTCCGACGTGTAGCCCTTCGCATAGGCATTCATGGACTGCAAAATCTCAAGGGACAAGTTATTGTTCAGGTGGCACTTCTTCACTAAGGATAAGCTGGTGAGAGATTTCTCCCGAGGCGAACCGTTAGACAATGATGCATCATTTGGGGCGATTAGGTAACGGTGCAGGTGGTCATACGTGTTTAGGAGATGTGCCCCTTTGCCGTCATTCCATGCTGCGTCTAAGGTTACTAAATCTTCACTTGCACGCAGGAAGCTTAGGTTGAATTGTGCTCGTCTTCCCCGTCCGCTGGGCAGCGCAGCGCTCTCACCACGGTCATCGCAGTCACCAAGGCCATCGCTGTCACCAAGGCCATCGCTGTCACCAAGGCCATCGCTGTCACCAAGGCCATCGCTGTCACCAAGGCCATCGCTGCCATCGCGTCCCACTGCGTACATGTCGTAGTTTATTCCCTCCCGATTATTTTCTTCAATTAGGTTTCGTATGACTCTGCCGATGTAGCTGCTTTCCCTAAGGACGCGATTTTCCTCAACGTCGCTCACTGCGTCGTCTTCGCTGAAGTATTCGTCCGGCTCGTTTACCTCGTCTGTCACGTCGGGGTGCGCCTTTCTTCCGGTATCACCGCTATCATCCTTGTCAGCATCCCTGCCATCATCACTGCCACCATCACCAGTGCTGCCAGTTTGCCGCTTCCCCCCCAGGGGGCTGGCCTCCATACGGTACTGCTCCTCATCCCGGTTATTATACACCCACGTGAGAAAAAACAAAAAAGTGGATAAGCAGTAACGCAAGTAATTGATTCGCAGCAAGTCGTATTTGTTTATGGAGAATGCGCTTGGGGAGGCACCTTCGCTTGTCGCTTCCGATGGCACTTCTCTATTGTCCCCCTCAACAGTCGTCGCGTCACCCCCCTTGGACCTCTTCTTCCTCACGTCAAGAATGATTATCTCTTTCGAATCGAAGATCTTCACAGAAAGAATGTCGATCCCTCTCAGATTTGTTCTAGTATTTAGGATAACGTTATCATGGTATGGTAAAGACGACAGAAAGAAGGTTAGAAAATATCTGTTTGGAATAACGGTGGCGTAATTGACCCACGTGTATGTGTCATTGGTGCAGCTGTAATCGATACTTGAGCAGACTGCAAAGATGTCTTGTGTCTGTCTTTTGTATATCCCCTTTTGTGCATCGTAATCAAATGGGCACAGGGACAGGAAGCCAAGGATGGATCTAAAACTCAAATTGCACTTCATTTTTTTCCGTTTACCTTTGTTGCTCAGGTCAGAGCAATTGGAAGTGGAATTGGAGACAGCTAAAGCAGCTTCTCCCTTCTTCTCTTCTGAGTTGTCACCGTTCTGGTTGGCGAAGTTGGCAGCGGCTTCACACTCATCCTTCTCCGATTCACCCTTGTTCTCCTCCCCATCTTCCTCCTCCTCGCACAGGTTCGCATGGAAATTGGTGCAACCCACGATATCGCCTTCGTTTTTTTCTGTCACTTGTCCGCTATTTTGCCCCCACTTCTTGGCTTGGAGCTCCGCGCGCCGCACCTCCCTTTCCGCCTTCTCCCGTTTGCTGACCTTGTAATTGTCCGTGTTCAGCAGGGTCCACTTCACGAGGAAGAGATGCTTTGGATTGTTCATCTCGTACTGGTGGTTAAAATAGTTACTGATGCGAGAAGAACCGGACCGCTGATGAGGACCGCGATGAGAGGCTCCCCTCCACAGGGGAATGCTGAAGCAACTACGACCGCTCGAAAACATGTTAATGAGGTGGGTACAGAGAGACGCGCTGTTAATTTCATCTTTCTGATTCACATGTACGGGGACTATGGCTTGAACGGGCTGCACCAGGCTAATGATGTTGTGGTGAAAGTTTAGCAGAATGTTCTTCTCTGTGTCGTTTCCATACATGTGAAGAAGGTCCCTTTTTATTTTCTCCATTGTTCCATCATACAGCATCGCGTTTGTCCTGTTTGAAAGGACTTTTCTAACTTCAGGCCCAACTAGCACGCCATAGTTGCCTCGAGCGCTGCGTTGGTTAAGCGGCGTGTCTGCCCCGTCGGTGACAGCAGGGGGGGAGAAGCAGCAGGAGCACCCGGAGGAAGAGCAGCCGCAGCACAACACCGCATGACGGGGAAGAGACTCATTTAAGTACTTGTTCACACCCCCCTTGTCAGAAAAGTGGATGATGTAAAAGTTCATCGTCTGAAGCAAGTCGAAGGATAAATAGGGACACATGATCAAGAGGGCTTTCCTTAAAACGCTCAGATCGTGGTAGTAGGGCCCCCTAAAGTATATGCAATTTTTTACATTCAATTTTTGTTGAGTGATATAGTTTAGTAGGGCGAGGAGCTTCTTCCCCTTGCCCTTCTTTTCAGTTTCACTCTGGATAGGTAAAAGTGGAGATCCATGGATAAACAGGGGGGTGAAGGAAAGACAAAAGAGAAACTTCAAATAAAGGTTTTCATTGGAAGGGTCGTAACATGAGTATCTGGTGACGATGCGGAAGACGTTCTTGGCGGTTAGGGGTTCCTCCGTGGGATCATCACGAGGAGTGGCTTCCCCTCCATTATGTTGTAATCCGGTGTTCAAACACGTGGGAGGCACTTCCCCCTTGATGAGATTCAAAAGGTACACCGCCGACCTGTACGCATTGCTGCCTGTCCAGAGGATCTTTAACAATCGCTTGCACAGAGTGTTAACTGTGCTTATGACACAGAGAAGCTTCTTCGCATTGATGTTGTTTCGCTTGCTCATTAGTGTACACGTGGTAACGTAGTAGCTCCTCAAGTGAGATCTTACAAACTTGCTCTGATTTTTTAGATCTTGGACGTATAGACAAAATAGACATAGCCATTCGATGAACACGTGGCGGAGCATAATCGGTTCAGAATAGGTTCGTCCATCAAAGTACTGTTTCTGCTTCAGGGACATTTCCAGGGACACGCCATACGCGTAGACACTCTTCGATGTATACAGATTGAAAGATGGAAATATATCGTTTGTGCTGATGATGGCGGTTATAATGATCGCATCGAATGTTACGTTCATTAGAACCCCGAAGAGGAGAAGTCGGCACAGATTTATGCTCATGTTATAGCGGATCATTATCTGTCCAATGATGGAAATGACTAACTTGCCCTTGATCTTAATCACAGCCTTCATTCTTTCTAGCTCGTGTCGCGTGCTCCGTATCTTTTCCCTGGATGGCTGCTCGATGATCATGCTGAGCACATCATACATGCTTAGCTTGTTATGCGGCAAAGCATCAACTCGGGTGGCAGACCCATCAGGTGTAGTCTCCGTGACACTCGCTTTGTTGGGCCCTCTTATCAGCTGACTCAACACGGACATGCTCTTTAAAATGTATAGATAGAGGAGGTGCAAACTGTGGGTGTAAATCTCGCTCACTTTGTGATCTCTCAGGAGATTCAAAAAATGTTTGCTGATCATCCGGATGCATATCCCATGGCATGTCCTCCCACATCTTCCCTTCCTCTGCTCCATGGATGACTTATTAATCCATTTCTTTACTAAGATGTGTGCTTTCCTCTCCGAATTGTATTCAATATTCTTCTGTATGCAGAAGTCGATGACTAGTCGGACATTTGGGATGGTAATGGAACTCTCCGCGATGTTCGAAGAGAGAAAAATGTTAATACCGTCCCTGTCGCTTTCGTGTAACTTATGAATGGTGTTGTCGTAGAGGCAGCTGTGGAGTATATGGATGTGGAACCTCACTTGGTGCTTCTTCGCATTGTTGTTGATAATGATGCAGAGCTGATGGTACATGTCTGTTATGTCCTGCATTCCGGAGAGGAAAATCAGGACGCTGTCTCCGAGAAGGCACAGGTTGTGCACTAGCTCCAGACACAGCCCCGAGATGTTCGAAAAGACGTTGGCTGGTATAATTTGCTCCACGTCGATGTCTTTGTTCGTCTCACCCCTCTCCTTTTTGGAGTTAAACAGATTTATGCTCTTGTCGTATTCGTTCTTTATTCTCTGGAGCAGTGCTTCTGCGCCCCCGGAGAGGTGCAGCTTCCTGCGGTTCTTCTGGCGCAGGATGAATTCGATTACCTTTTCGCACCTGGGTGGGCGCCCAAGGGACGGGGTTAGCCAGCCGCTTGATGGAACGTCCGTTCCTGACTCCATACACACTTCGCTAGGTTGGCCCCCTTCCCCGTCGCTCTCATTCTCCTCCTCGAGGCCACCTCCGTGCGCGTACCGCATTATATCCTCTATGTAAAATGTGTCAATACTGTAAATCTTGGTGCCTATGAAAATCGATCCCATGGAGATGCTCTCATGTTCGAAGTATGAGTAGAATAGCTTGCTCTGCATCGTCGCGGACATTATGACTAGTTTGAAAATCGGTTCATCCTTCCTCCTACTGTGTAGGTATACCTTAATGAAAAGCAGCACGATGTCAAGGAGAATGCTCCGGTCGTGAATCTCATCGATGATTATGTGTGTGAATTTCCTATACATATTTCGATGATGAAGAAACAGCTTAAAAAGAAAACCGATAGTTATATACGTTACTAATGTTTTCTCGCTGTCATAGACTGCCTCCCCTGCGATTCTATAACCTACTGTGTTGCCTAGCTTATCGCTGATCAGTTCGGAGAGAATCCTAGCTAAGGAGATGCAAGCGATTCTTCTCGGTTCAGTTACAATGATGTTTATTTTCTCTTTCCCTTCTTTGAGATGCTCTTCCAGCAGGAACTTGGGCACACATGTTGACTTTCCCGAGCCTGTCTCCCCTTGAATGAACGTGATGTCATTCTGTTCTATCATTTTTAGGATTTCATTTCTGGAGTTATAAATGGAGAGCTTCTGTATGTTCCTCTGGGCGCTCTTTTGGCTGTCCTCGGTCAGGAGGATTTTCTTCTCTCTCTTGGGTTTGACTCCCCCGGGGAGGGCCATTTCTGGGGGGGTTTTCCCTTGCCGGGTTGCTACTCGGCGGTCTGCTACTTGGCCCTTCCCTTCACTGGCTGCTGCTGGGAGGGCCCTCTGGAAGCGGTTAGCACCGGAGCGATTGCCAACGAAACGGTTCGCGGAGGAGGGATTAGCAACGAAGCGATTACCAGCGAAGCGGTTACGAATCAGGCGATTATCAACGAAACGATTTCGGTGGTTGGAGTCGCCATAGTTACCGCAGTCACCGCGTTCGTCCCCCTGGTGCATACTCACTGCATAGGGGGAATCACTCTCCTCAGCGAAGGTCCTATATTGCAATTCTCCATTTTGGCCCAGCACACCACTTCCACTGGGTTGATGCCTCTGCCTGTTTACTGCCTCCTGCATAGGGTGCTCCCCCCCACTGTTACCTCCCCGCTGACCAAAGCTCTCTCTACGCCTGTCATTATAATCTGGGAACGGTTCCGCCCCATAGGGGTTGTTCCCTGGCAAGGCGCAGTAGCTGTCTCGGGCGCCGTTTGGGTTGTCAACACGGGGGGGGTACCCCTTCTGGGCGGCATACCCGTTCTGGGCTGCATACCCCTGCTGGGCGGCACCCCCATGGTGGAATCCCACGGACGAGGGCGCACTAGCAAGCGCTCGCGGGTCATACCCCGTGGGGAAGCCTCCAGATGAGTTAGCAGCGGAGGAAGAAGCAACAGACACAGCCATGCCTGCATAAGAGTGATGGTCCCCCCGAACCATATGTTGTCTGCCATGATTAGGGTGATATATCCAATTGTTCACGTGCATGCTGCTACCATGTGGAAGCATTCTGCTCATTCCGACTTGATCCACGTTCAGCGGGACCCTCACGAAGCTGTTAAAAATGGCTCCATTGGGGGCATCTCTATAGAGTAATTCTCCTATGCCATTATTACTGCATGAGTGCCCCCCCCCGAGGTGCTCATTTTGCGTCTTTTTTATTGGGTGCGTACCCCACGATTGTTCATCTCCAAAAGAATCCTGATGATAATTGCTGCATTTAGCAAGCGAGGTTTCTTGCCTGAGGTACACCTGGTCATTTTGGTACTGGTAATATGTTGGCAGGGGTGCTGCTCTCCTTTCACAGGGGACGTTTGGAGGCCCCCTCTCGGCTGCGTTAAAATGGGTTTCATTGGGTCTTCGCATCGGATGATGGTGGTACCCCTCTGGGTTACTTTGTTCCAACATGTTACTGGGCTGCCTTTCCTCCTCGCCGTTCATTTGGTAGACTCAAAAATAGGAAGAGATCTGCCTTATGAAGAGCTCTGCCTTATTTATTTATTTTTCCCCTCTCTCTTCAACGTGCTTCTATATAGCTACCTTGGATGGGCCACCTTTCGTGGGAAAATAGGTTACTTAACGGTATGGGGACACTCCGCGTTTGGCCCATGAGTCACATTTCTGGCAACGTGCAAAAAGTGCCCACGGTCGGATGGAACAGGTGAAGCACATCACTCGAGTTGTTCCTATCTGTAACTGTCCCATTTGTGTCTGTTCCCCATCCGGTGAGCTCCGAAACTGAACGAGTAAAGCATATAACGCAGAAAAAAAAAAAAAAAAAGAAGGTGCAAATTAACAAAGTGCGAAATTAAATAGATTAAGCACAAGGGGGGTGGTTAACCAGCGAGGTGACCCGAAAAGGAAAGCCGCTACGCGAAGTGGTCAGCACTGACTTGAAACAAATGTAGAAGAACGTTGTGGCTCCCTGGAAAAGGGAAAAAAACTACGCAGCAGGAACAGCGCGAAAAAATCGGCGAGTCTAAAATTACACACTCGATCAGCGCGTGGGCATAAAGAACTCTTCGGAAAGAAAAAAAAAAAAATAAAAAAATTATGCTGGGGAGAATCCGTTGCCAAATCTTAAATCGTGGCGTCAAATGGGGAGCCAAAAGAGGGGCGAAAAGCCGAGCAACATTTTTTTTTAAAAAAGAAAAGGTAGGATCGAGGCATGTGACGAGCACCATCGTGTAAGGGTGAGGCGAAGAAGTAGTAACACTAGTAGTAGTAGCAGTGGTAGTAGTAGCCCTAATGCACCACGCGGAGGAACATAACCGGGTCAAATGCACGCCGCCCACGTGGATACGCAGTGGGAACGGTTCGCATGTTCGGGGATGTATACATGCACACAGCCTACATGCATTCTCAAACCGAAAAGTGGCACCTAATTATTGTGTCTCTCGATGACCAGGATTGATAACACAACACCATTTCTTTTCACGTCGCAAGCAAATCACGGGTTGGCAAAAAAAAAACGATGATAGACTTTTGTATTTACCTTGCGCAGCGGCTGCTGTGCCGAGCAAACACGCTGAGTTATATGCGGAGCTTCAATTCAATGAGGTGTCCTCTTGACGAATTCAGACGGGCATGCAGCGTGGCGGAGGAAGCCTTACAACGTTAACCAGAGGAGAAGGGCACATAAGGAAGGTAAGGAAGAACCTACCGGTTCGAAGTTGCATGACTCGACTTCCAACTTTGGAAAAAAAAAAAAAAAAAAAAACAATCTTCATGTGCGCGCAGTGGCACTGTTCCACCGTGGCTCCGTCGTCTTTAGCCCTTTTCTCATTATTACAGATGTGAGAAAAAGGGTACACCTCCTGTGATGTCTCACGATGCTGGGAAAGTACTGGGAAGGCGGCCAAAAGAGGGGAAGGGGGAGTAGCAACGGTGGCAGGGGAACAGTCGTTCTTTTCCCCACCGGAGGGTCTTCACCCCCGGGCAAATCACCAATTGGTAAAAAAAAAAAAAAAAGAAAATGGCTCATTAAAAATAAAAGTTGTACATTTAAAAAATCCAAAAAGGGAGAGAAAATTAAGAAAAAAACAGAAAGCCGAATGGGGAACGAACTTACACATGCGACAAGTCAAAGATGAGGGAGTGAGGTGTACTCCTCACAAGATGAGAAGAGAAACGGATAGATTTTACCCCCTCGGCGCGACGTTTACCTTCAATTATTCAGTTTGTTAATGTAAGATAATATATTGTCCTCGTTAAAGTACGTATTAAGGCTCTTCTTGCTCTGTTGCATCATTTCTATGTTGCCATTGGAACAGATTTTCACCTCTTCATCCTTGTGGATAGCCTTCTTAACAGTCCACTTGTTCTCATTTAAAAAAATCTCCAGTTCGTTCATATCCCGCAAATTCAAATAAGTCGCCATATTTTCAAGAGAAATATTTTCGAAGCTTAACGTAATACAGTTTAGTATATACTTCCTAATGTTGCAGAGAAAAGTGTCGTGATTTGTCAAGAAGGAGTAGTCACAACTGCGATTGTCCATCCATTGGTTGTTGTTGATGCAGCTCCACATTTTAATAAAATGACACTCTTTAATTAAGTCGTAGAGATATACGATGCTTCTGATGTGGTCGTCATACAGATTGGGGTTAATGAGACTGAGGTAGATATTCATGTCGATGTCGTTTATATTGTATAGGACACAGACGAGGATTTTTTTGATTACAATTTTGTCGAAGCAGTGTGGGTACAGACAGAAGAGCCTCAGCAGAGTTAGCATCACTTCGTTGTCGAAGTATTCGTTGTTTCCGAAGGCGATGTCGACGTAGTCACTAAGGATTTCTGTGAAAAAGGTGTAGAATAATGGTTGGGGGCGGAGGCGTCAAAATGTGGCATATATGCTTCGAGCATTAGGGTCCTCCGTTTGGAGCTATCGCCAAACGGGGTGAGATATCATTAACGATCCTCTTCTCTTCACTTTTCCCCTTCTCATTAGGTGGAGTGACCCTCCACCCTCTATAACCACGGGGACGCAACTCCGTCCGAGGTCTTTTTCCTTTACTCCTATAACTTACTCAGCTTGGAAGCGTTGAACATCATATGAGGATAAACCTTAATGGCCTGAACCTCCTCGATAATATTCTTCACATCCATGGTTGGTAAATTTCGAACGAGTATTATATATATATATGTGACTCTCCTTTACGGTTAGGTAAAAGAAAAAAAAAAAAAAAAAAGAAAAATTCTTCACGGTTAACTCCTCGTAGCAAATATTTTTAAACAAACTGGTCGCTTCTAATTCGCAAAATGGCGAGCGAATGGCGTGCTGCTCCCTTTCGTGGGGCCCTTTTGCAGGTGGGCACTCATCAGCTGGGACCAAATGGGCTCCTATGCAGGAGTAGCTCCTTCAATGTATGCCTAATTCCGCTTGCATTCGCTTACCATGCGTTTTATCGCAAAGGTGATGTGTTGTGGGAGCGGAAGAAGGCAGAAGAGGTGAGTCAGCTATAAAAAAAAAAACATATACATAAAATATACATATATATAAATATAACATATACATCATATTCGCTTCGACGACGCGCATACATAGTGCTATAACTGCATGACCGCGGAAACTCTCGAAGAAAAGAAGGGTGGGCGCCGCGTCGTGGATGTGCATACCGTTAAGTACGCTCATTGTTTATACGTATACTTGCCGGCGCGCAGATGCCCACTATTCCAACACCTTTTTCTGTCGGCGCGATCACGTGGCAGTTCATTTGAGAAGCACGCCGCGCAGAAATGAATATCACAGTGAGGAGGAGCTAAAAATGCACGCACGCGAATGTGAAGGAACGATTGCGATGAAGTGCCCCCAAATTTATCACTCCCCAGCAAATGCGCTTCGCATAAGGGGAAGCCTCATTTTTCCCGCGCCATTTCTCAAACCTCGGAATGTTTGCATATTATGTCCCACCACCCCCCTTCTTCCTTACCCCTTGCGCAGCACCGCACCAGCCATCTCGCACGGAGCGATTTGTTTCCCCCCTTGGCGCACGCATTCAATGTGACGTATGCAAATGCATACCACTCCTCACATTACGAAGAAAGGGAATTTTTTTTTCTTCTTTTTTTTTTCTTTTTTTTTTCAATTTGCTGAAAGCACATTTTTGTGTGAAAAGGAAAGTCGTACGCCCAGCCGTAGGCCCCTATCACTTCGTTTTGATTCCCTCCCCCCCTTTGTTTGTAGCACTGATTTCGTTTTATTATTGTGGCTCCACCTTATTGCATTCTTCCCCACCGCGCTGCGCCGCCCTGTACTGTACCACACCGCATCGCATCACATTTTATTATATTTTTTTTTTTCCCGCCAAAGTGCCGCTCCACTCGGTGGATAAATCGCCACTTAGGGGCAAAAAAAGGGACGTCCAACCGCACGCCTCCCTGCAGTTCCTTCATGTTTGCTAATAGCCACCCCTGTACCTGCATGCGGGGAAAGGAGGGAAGGCATAGACGCAAGCAGAGGAACAGACATTACATTTAGTTACCCCGACAGAGGGGGCTACACCCAAACAGCCGCAAATTGCGCGAACGCCGCTTCTACGCAGGACAAAAGGGAATAGGCCAAAGCACACCCCAAAAGGAGGAACAACCAGTGCAGGTTTTTTTTTTTTTTTTTTTTTTTTTTCCTTGCTCCCCAAGATTACCCAGCAACAAGTTAAAGCAACTCCGATTAGCAACTGTAAAATGTATTCCCTCTATGTCAACAACCAGCATGGTACGTTAGTTTACGAAAAGGTACGCGCTCGAGTCGTTCAAGTGTGACGCATGCATATGAGCGACACGCTAGTTGTAGTGCGCTGGGTTGTCGTCCTCGATTATGCCTCTTTCATCTCGCGTCCATCCTGCTTCCTCCCCCCCCTGCAGCACTTCAGCGACGAAATAAAGCTAAATAGTAATGAAGAAATAAGACTGGCCTCCATGCTGCACGGCATTTCGACCATATCTGAGAAGATCAATGTGCATGCATCCCCCCTAAATGAATCGAAGAGGAACATTTTCAAGTCACTAGAGAAGAAGGGCATCGAGACAATCGAGGGAGATGGTTTCAAAATCCAGTGTTACGACACGTTGACAGGAATTAAAATCTTCATTGTGCACAAAGATGACCTCAACATCGAAGCGAACACTTATTTGAAAAGGGTTCACGAATTGTATAGCGACATCATTTTGAAGAACCCCTTCTACGACATTGATATGCCTATACGTTCTGCGGTTTTTAATGAGCAAGTCGAGAAGCTCTTCGCTGGCTTGTGATCTCAGAAGGGAGCTTCGCGCGGGAGTCGGCGCGGGCGCAGATAAGTGTCTAATCAGCTAGGCGACCAAACGGACAAACGTAGACAACCCATTTGGCATACACAACCTACCCGCGCATGCGAAAATATTATTTTTTCTCCCCTCGGCGAGTTGCACAAAACTGCGCGTAGTACCCACCCCGTGTGAATACCACCCCTCGGGAGCCTACCACGGGGGAATCTGAACCGTAGCGTCGGCAGAGAGAACGTCTTGAATTGTAACCACCTCAGCGCTTTACCGCTTCATTGCCTTATCGCCTTATCACCTTACCACCTCACCCCACCAGAGCGCTAAAATGAACCTCTTCCTTAATGTACTCATTTTGATTGACGCAGCGAGTGTTACGTTCCTCTCAGTAACATTTCTTATGATCAACTTGAATGAAGAAAGTCTGGTACTAAGTGAAGCACACCGAGAAAATGGGAAAAAGGCTCTGGTAGTAGCCATTTTGTTGTATGTAGTTTTTTTAATTTTCCTCTTTACCTACAAAGCCTACAAAAACAAGCGAAAGCTGTACAACAACTTCTTCATGAAGAAGAGAAATAGCCCCAGGTATGTTCAGCTCGCTAGCACTTATTTTTCAGGCACAGACGAGTATGAGCAGTACGAGCTGAGCAAGATTTAGCGTCACGTTAGTTTGTGTTTGTGTGTGTGGGTTGGGTGGGGGTAGACGAGTGCACACAGTTGTATGTGTCTGCAGCGGTGTGCAACATCCACATGCGAGTTTGCCGTCGCTGTAGTCCTTGCAAACCTTTGCTTGTCGAACAAGAAAGAAGCAGGATAAAAGTAATTAAAATTAGCAGCCGATTTTAATGTTTCTACTTACAGTTCAGTCATACTAGTGAGCCTTTTATGTATGCTCATTTTTGTTTTAATTTTAGCTGATTTTTTTTTTTTTGACCCATTTTTGCAGCCATTTTTACAGCTATTTTTACAGTAATTTTTATAGTAATTTTTATCGTAGTTTTTTTTTTACCTGTCCATGTTGATATTTTTTTTTTTAAACCCCTTATTCATATTTTACCTTTTGAAGTAAAATATAACTCTTTTTTTTCACAAAAGTTGTAAAAAATGTGTAAATAACAAAATAGCCCTTTTTTTTTATCATAATTGGAGCGCGCCACAAGAGGGGAAGGTTTTCCCCCTTCTGACATGTTCTATTCTGGCGTCATTTCCCAATTGCAAATTTGCTCTGGGAACTGGCATTGCGCGCGGATACCTGAGCATACTGTGTGTATCCTTCCCCTGATAATAACTTTGAAACAAGTGCCCGTTTTTTTCTTCATCATTACGCAATGGGGAGAAATA